TATCTTATTATCTTTAAACATTTTCTTTTTTTAAGATTTTTTTTTAAATAATCTCTACGCACAACATGGGGCTCAAACTCATGACCCCAAGATCTAGAGCAGCATGCTTTTCCAACTGAGCCAGCCAGGTGCCCTTCAAATTACCTTATTATCTTCAAATTAGAACATTGGATCAAAGGATCTCGGAGACTTCCTCAAGTTTTAATGTTAAATGAGTCTATGAAGTAAAAATGGCATTGGTGAAGACTCAAGATGTAACAATACTCATTATATTCCTAGTACTGCCATTTACTACGGATCTTTCACTACACTTGGTCAAGTCTTAAATTGTCCTTCTGTTGACCCAGGTCTTTAGTTGTTTGTTTGTTTTTTTTTTCAATTGCAGTTACCACCCCCACCCCTGCCACACACACGCACAAAATTTACCTTCTTAATCATTTTTAACTTTACAGTTCAGTAATTTTAGGTATATTAATACTGTTGAATAATGTTGACTTTGAAACTTCAGGGTGTAGATCATTTATTGGTAAAGAACATATCTATTTCTACCATGCCTAGATGAGTAAGAACAAGAAATTACTCATCTCTTCTCCCTTTCTTTCCCTTGATACAGTGGCTGGAACATTATATCAAGGGAGAAATGCTACAACTTAAAATCATCTAACTAAGAATTTCTTATTCAAAGTTTTCATATTGCTATGGCCTGAATGTTGGTGTCCCCTCAAAATTCATATGCTGAAATCCTAATGCCCAATGTGATGTCGCACACATATGTGGAGTATTCATGAATAGGATTAGTGCCCTTAAAAAAAGAGATACCACAGAGTTCTCTGGCCCCTTCCACCATATGAAGATATATCAAGAAGTTGCCAGCTATGAACCAGGAAAAGGGGCCTCACCAGAACACAACCATGCTCACTCATGCCTTCATCTTGGATTTCCCAGCCTCCAGAACTGTGAGAAATAAATTCCTGTTGTATATCAGATATCCAGACTGTGGTATTGTTACAGCAGCACAAATGGACTGAAACACCTATTTTTTTCTTGAGCCCTTCTGATTAATTAACTCACAATTTTGGAGGTTTATGAACCACATATAGATATATGTTCAAATTTTGCAGTGTAAGCATAAAGAAAGACTTTTTGGTAAAATATTAGAAGGTTTAATCATCTTTCTCAAGGGCCTCTTTGATATCGAAGTAATATTCTTTTGAAATGTCTTTGTTATCGTCATCTGTGCTTCTTCTCTTTTCGTTGTTTTTGTTTTTTAATATTTATTTATTTCTGAGACAGAGAGAGACTGAGCATGAGTGGGGGAGGGGCAGAGAGAAAAGGGAGACACAGAATCAGAAGCAGGCTCCAGGCTCTGAGCTGTCAGCACAGAGCCCAACGCAGGGCTCGAACCCACAGACCGCGAGATCATGACCTGAGCTGAAGTTGGACGTTCAACCGACTGAGCCACCCAGGCGCCCCCTCTTTTTGTTTTAATAGGCTTAATTTTGCTAGATCCTTTTTTATTTTTTATATTGGCTTCAGGAATTCCCAATATTTCCCAAGACTTTGAATTTCACTTTGCAGTGATTAGTATTACAGTGTTAGATGTTTATAACACCAGCACCTAGACAAGGACGTCATTGCAATGGCCTCAGACAAGAGCTATTGTTACCTGGGAGAAGGGATGTTTAAGGATATCTAATTTTGTGAAGCATCTAATTCACTAAAACATATTTTTAAAAAAATTTTTTTTGATGCTTATTTATTTTTGAGAGAGACAGAGACAGAATGTGAGTGGGTTGGGGCAGAGAGAGAGGGAGGCACAGAATCTGAAGCAGGCTGCAGGCTCCAAGCTGTCAGCACAGAGCCTGACGCGGGGCTCGAACTCATGAGCTGTGAGATCATGACCTGAGCTGAAGTCGGACGCTCAACCGACTGAGCCACCCAGGCGCCCCATTAAAACATATTTTTATGTCATGATTTTTTCTGCTTCACTATGCATTACAAACATGGTGGTGAGGTTAAAAAATAAATACTCAGAAACTGAAGACCCCTCTTCCTTTGTTAGTCACAAGAGTATTCCTTCAACCAGATGATCTCTTTCATTAAAATAAAAATTTAGGGGTGCCTGAGTGGCTCAGTGGGTTGAGCATCTGACTTTGGCTCAGGTCATGATCTCACCGTTCATGAGTTTGAGCTTCGTATTAAGCTCTGAGCTGACTCAGAGCCTGGAGCCTGCTTTGGATTCTGTATCTCCCTCCCTCTCTGCCCCTACCCCACTCACACTCTCTCTGTCTCTATCAAAAATAAATAAATATTAAATATTTTTAAAAAATAATAAATAAAATAAAAATTCTGGGGCACCTGGATGGCTCAGTCAGTTAAGCGTCTGACTCTTGATCTCAGCTTAGGTCTTGACCTCAGAGTTGTGAGTTTAGGCCCTGCACTGGGCTCCATGCTGCGTGTGGAGCCTACTTAAAAAAATAAATAAATAAAAAATAAAACATTTACTTCTGGTTTTGTCTTACCACTTGATTTTTAAAGATCAAGATCTTAAATTAGTAGACTTCTGGAAGAGTAAGTATTACACAACTAGTTATTTCAGTTGGGGAATACATCCAACTTCTCTGGTAGTTGTAAAAAGAAAAAGTAAGCTTGGTTGAAATTTCCAATCGCCATTGATTTTAGAAACAATTTTGAAAAGAGTTTAAGTATAACAGATGTATTTCATCAGTTCCAAGAAGCAAATTTTTTTCCTATGTTTAAAAATTTCTAGGGAGCACCTGGGTGGCTCCGTTGGTTGAGCGTCCGACTTCAGTTTAGGTCATGATCTCACAGCCTGTGGGTTCGAACCCTGCATTGGGATCTGTGCTGACAGCTCAGAGCCTGGAACCTGCTTTGGATTCTGTGTCTCCCTCTGTCTCTGCCCCTCCCCTGCTCACACTCTGTCTCTCTCTCCCTCAAAAATAAACATTAAAAAAAAAAAAAAAAAAGATTTCCAGTATCAGGATGCATGTTAAAAATTAAGAGTTACAATTTATATAAAGAGCAGTTTTTCTTTTTTTTGGCTGTACCTAAATAATATGCCTTACAGTCCATGGTGTTTGAAATTAGAATGTAGTCTAAAATTCTAATCTAATAGATTAGAATAAATCTAATAGCTACACTACCAAAATATTAAAATTAGCCAAAATACTAAAATGAAGCAATGCTTATGCAGAATCATGCAACGTTCAAGAGGATGCATTCCATCAATAACATTAATAGCAATCCACACATTCCTTCCTATGACCAAGTACTTGCTATCATAGGTGAGGACACTGAAGCAATGAGGTTAAATGACATAACCTCTCCAGATGTGTGAGGGCCAACATCTCACACACAGTGGATGAATTAGATGTTTTTCTTAGATATAAGGTTTCTGCCTGTTGGTAAACAGAAACAAGTGCTATTCTAGATGAAGGGTTTTATGAAAACATACTGCTAATTATTTGTATCTCTCAAAGAATAGTTATCTATTGCAAAGCAAACAGCCATATAGCTTTCTTCATTTAAACCCTTTGGTAGGCAGAATAATGAGCCCCCCAAAATGTTCACATCCTAATCTTGGAACCCATGAATATATTACTTTACCTGGCAAAGGAATTTGCTGATGTAATTGAGGGTACAGTCCTTCAAATGGGAAGATTATCCTGGATTATTCCGGTAGCCCCAATCTTGTAAGAGCTCTTAGGATCTAAGTATTTTACCCAGGATGTGACTATGGAAGGATCAGAGATGCAACAGCTCTGGCTTTGAAGATAGAAGGCAGGTGGCAGGAATGTGTAGAAAGGCAAAGAAAGGGATTCTGCTGGAGAGCCTCCAGGAAAGATGCAATCCAGCGGATTCCTCGATTTTAGCCTCAAGACACCCCAGTTAGACTTCTGACTTACAGAAGTGTACCATAATAAATTTGTCTTGTCCCTAATCCTTCTGGGCTGTTTTAAGCCACTAAAATTTGTGGTATAAATAAGCCGTATCTCTTAACTTGTGAGTAGCGTGCTGCTCTGATGATGCTTTTACAAACACAGCCGGAAAGTCGGCCTAGTGTTTTTCCATAATGTGTCACACAAACCACTATAACTAGACGGTACACGTAAAAACACTTTACCTTTTCATAGTATTTTTTAACCTTTGTCTTCTACTTCTGGCATGTGTTGCTGGTTTTGCACTCAGGTTACTTAGGACTGTATTTTATTTACTGTGTGACCCAAGAAAACGCGCTGAATGTACTCAGCCTCCCGTGGGTGATCCACCCGGCTGAGACAGCACTCCAGGAGGGAATCACTCGCCACCTCAGGTTCCAAGGCGTGTGCATACACAGGGAAGCACCAAACATAAACCAGCGGGCCACGATCGCGGAGCTGGTCTCCCGCTATAGGTCTGCCCTTAAAAGACCACGGTAGGTGTTAGCCCACATCTGTCTTCCGGCTTCCTTGTATCCCGCAAGCTCCGCGCGGGGAAAGAAAGCCATATTAAACTTCGCGATAATTGCAACTGTCGCGAACCTTTCACCGGCTTCCCAGAGCAAAGATGGCAGGCAGATTGCTCCGCCCTTGTGAACCAAGATTTTGTTATCGCGAGATCCCAATGACAGTTCAGGAGCCTGATCTCGCGGGATTTTCCGATTTAGGGTTGGAAATTGCTGGGGAAAGTAGAGACAGGGAGGGCCAACTGTGAGAGGGAGGGTGAGGGGTCCACTTGCTGGCTTGCTGTTCCCCCCTCCCCCACTGGCCGAATTCGAGACGACTAGGTGAGCGCCGCCTTGCCAGCCAACACAGCGCCCTCCGGCTCTGCCGCTGCCTCGGACGCCGCCATCCCTTCTCTCTTGGGCCCCACCTGTGCTCCCTTTTGTCCCGCGGCGTCGCACTTCAGGGGGGCGATGTACGGAGGGCTGCAGGAAGTGGTCTTCCCGCCTGCCGCCTCCTCGGGGTCCTCGGCCTCCTGTTGGGTGTTCTACGCAACCAGGCCGCCCAGCCCCTCCCCTTGGCCAGATGGATGCCTCTGCCCCCAAGCCTCGCGCGGAAGCCGCCGGCAAAGGTACAACAAGCTCCGAGCTCACCTCTCCGCCCAGACACCTGTCTTTATTGTGCCGGGTTGGACCCATTCCTGCCAGTTCTCTTGGGGTTGGGGTTTTACCCGTGGCTCTTCTGAGTGGCTCCTGGAGTCTGGGACCAGTTCTTTGGGACTTGGTGTTGAGAACCTGGACTCTGGAGTCAGACTGGATCTAGTGCTGGCTCTGACAGTTGCTGAGAAACTTTGGGCAGTTTCCTCATCTGTAAAATTGAGATCATTGTTGAGTTCTTGTGATTACTAAATAAGATGGTGTATGCAAAGCACTTAACGTGACCCAGCTCTGGCCCATAGTAAGCACTCAATAAATATATGGTATGTTTATTCTTTATCCTTATATGCCCCAGTTCTTAGCGAATGGTAGAAATTTGTGACGTAGGTGACTAAAGGTTGAGATACTCAGTTCACTTTATTTCACAAAGAGCTTAATATATGATGTACTGATTAAGAGCCTTACGGTCAACCTTTAATGGGCCATCAAGAGAGAGTTTAAAGAGGGTGTGGTTATCTGCTACAGGTCAAAAGGGATGCCTTCTTGCCCCCCAAATTAATAGCTTTCATTATTAAAAGTGATACAGTAAAAGCTATCAGATACTGAATGCTGTGCCCAGCAATATGCTGATTGTTTATCTACATGCTTTCCTTTGAGGAAGATATCGATCTTATTAAATAGATGAAGAATTCAGAGCAGAAGTTTAGAGGTCTATACAACAAGCCTCAACTCTGAATGCTGGGAATTGATGACGCTATAACTCAGGGATCACAAATATAAGCGCTCATAGAAGCCTGGCAGATGAACTAAGTAATGAAGCTGCTGAATGGAGCTTGAAGGGACTGGGATGCTCATCTCTCAGTTAAAAGGGGCAGGGACCATTCAGTTCCAGGGACTTGTTCGTCCATGTGTGAATGGTACTGGTGGTAGCTACAGGGTTAGATTGCTTGGTTCAAATCCAGGATCTGCCAGCTTTTAGCTGTGTAACCATTGGCAAGCTGGTTAGCCTTTATCTGTTTCACCATTTGTAAGATGAAACTAACAATATTACTTACATGAACTAATGAAAGGGTGGTGGTGAGGCTTAAATGAACTACTGCATCTAAAGCACATGCCTGGCACACATCAGTCTTCACATGTTAGCTATATGTATTTGTTAATTCTATAAGTATTTGAGATTCAAACATTGTTCTAGGTGCCCAGGATATAGCAGTGAACAAAGTTAAGTCCTTGCTCTAGGGAACGAAGTTGAGATAAACAACAAACATTTCATATTTTTCTCTGAAAATGGAATTAAGCAGGGTAAAGTAAGAGTGGTGGCGAGTGTTAGGTTCAGTGGTCAGAAAAAGCACCTCTTAGGAGATGTCATTTGAGCAGAGACCTGAATGAAGTGAATGAGTCAGTCATTTGGGTATTTTGGGAGAGTGCAGGTGGAAGGAACAGAAGGAATGCTCTGGGGCCCTGAGGTGGGAGCATGCTTGCCATGGTTGAGGAACAGCGAGGAGGACAGTTTGGAATGAAGGACAGGAGGAAACGAAGTTAAAGATGACTCTCCAATCCAACAGGAAATCCTCCCAGTTTAAACTATTTGTTTTAGAGTTTGATACAGAGAGATTCCAGCCTTCCCTCAAACTAACCAGGCACATTTGTTTATGTGTTTTCTGTCCCTGCTTTTGTGTTACAAGGGTAGGAGACAGTATAGTCTGCAAAACTAAAATAACAAATAGCTAAAATCTGACTCTACAGAAAAAGTTTGCCAACAGTTGTTTTAGAGAGGTGGTAGCATGATGAAGGAAAGTGATATATTTTGAGGTAGAACCAGCAGGACTTTCTGAGGTGGTGAATGTAGGGAATAATATAAAAAGAGGAATAAGGACTGGCTGAATGTTTTCTACCATGACAAGTTGGCTAGGTGATGATGCCATTTAACGAGATTAGGAAAGACTAGTTCTGAGTAAGGTTTAATCATTATTTTTGACGTTGGTTTTTTTCATTTTATACCTATTGTGTGGTACAGTATTTGGCAGATAATTGATGTTAAAACATACATTGAATAGTACACACATTAATGACTTAAGCCTAAAAATTAGAAAGCATTTTCTGGATAGGCAAACAAATCATGTGAAATAGAAATGTGTTAAGAATTGCTATAGGGGTTAATAGAGGTTTGAAGGCTCAAACAGTACTGTTATGAAAATAGAGCCCACAGATCTATCTGTTAGCCCTCTACGGTGGATCCAGGTTTTAGTTTCACGTTAAACTATGTTTTTAGAATTGTGTGACAATTCTCAAATTGTGTGGATCCAGAGATCAGAGTAGGAGAACAGATTTTTCTTGGTGTACTTCTGATTGTTATGTAAAACAACCTTACTAAAGTTGGTAGGAATGATGACTTTACTTTTGAGGAACAATCGATGAGGAATAGCTTAGTGAGCTATTCATGCTTAAGACAGTATAGATATACGAGTCATATTATAATCATGAATGTCATAAAAACCTAACAAGAAATCATTGGAAAGACCCTAAGAAACTACCAATAATCGTCTGATTTCAGTAAGAAATATTTGAGAGGGGTACTTGGGTGGCTCAGTCAGTTAAGCATCCAACTCCTTGATCTCAGCTCAGGTCTTAATTCTGCAATTAAGATGGTAAATTCAAGCCTGGCATTAGGCTCCACACTGGGTGCGAGGCCTACTTAAAAAAAAAAAAAAAAAAAATTCCTATTATTCATACACTTGTAGCCATATAATTCCTCTGGAGTTCTTGTTATTAGAAATTCCATTTAGAAAATTATTTTTACTTTATTTCCTCTATTCATGTCTTTTAATTATACTAGCTGTATGCTCTAAAGATATTCCCCTCCCTAGTCATAGTGTTGTATTTTCTGAATAGAAAATAAAACAGAAAGCTGTACAATTAAGGATGGGATAAATACACATATAGAAAGTGGTCAGAATTTTCAAACAGTAATAGAATCTTAGCAGAAAGAGATCTTAGAATTCATCTCTTTTTTAAGAACTGGAACCCTTCAAAACCTAGAAGGGAAGAAAGCTGTGACAAAGCTGGCACACATAACTTTGTAGTTGAACTGGAGAGTGCCTTGGTTAGTTGTATACAATTTCAAGCAATGGTTTAAAAGCAGCAATATTGACGATAAGAAGAAACAGCTGTCTCCAGAGAAAGGCGATGGGATAACTAAAAAAGCAGACACAAGAATCACAAAAGTGTTGCTGTCTAGAGGATTTTAGCTTACTCATTATCAAGTCCCGTTTACTATTAGTCTATCATATCATGAATAATATATATAATGTTCATGAATCATCATGAATATCTCAGTCAGTGGTTCTCAACCATGGCTGTGAATCAGAATCATCCTTTGAATTCAACGATATCTGCCAAAGTAATAAAACCAGATGCCCATGGCCCATATCCGCTAAACCACTGTGGTTTAGTGTTCAAGCATGTTTGAGGAGATTATGACAGACAGCCAGGATGAGAACAACTGGAAATAAATTATATACCCTTTATTCTGATTATTATAGGAGAATATCTGATAATATATTTTAGGAAGATATCTATATGTGTTATAACTTATCTTGTTTCAGTAATTTGGAAAGGGTATTTGTGTGAGTTATATTTTTTTTTCTCATAGCAGTTGTTATAAGTTTAGTGGTATATAAGTTATATTTGGAAATTTTATTTTCTTCTGTATTATTACAGACATATGGCATCCAGGAGAAAGATGTCTTGCCCCTTCTCCAGATAATGAGACACTTTGTGAAGCAAGCATAAAATCTGTCACAGTGGATGAAAATGGGAAATCATTTGCAATCATCTTATATTCAGATTTTCAAGAAAGGAAAGTACCTCTTAAAAGAATTCATGAAGTTAAATCTGTTAAAGATTGCTCCAGGAATTTTATATTTGATGATGAAGATTTGGAAAAACCTTATTTCCCAGACCGAAAATTTCCATCATCTGCCGTTGCTTTTCCATTATCTGAAGACGGAGACTCTATTCCTTATACTATTAACAGGTATTTGAGAGACTACCAAAGGGAAGGAGCCCAGTTTCTCTATGCACACTTCATCCAAGGAAAAGGATGTATTCTTGGTGATGACATGGGACTTGGGAAAACAGTACAGGTATTTTTTAAAATTACTTTATAATTAAAATTCATTAAAGTCATTTTATTATGTCCATGAGTAGATACCATATACAATTCTTTATTTGTACTCCCAAATCTTATAATGGCTATTTTGTGTGTGCCTATGTTTCTCACACACTGAACAGGAAAATTCTCAAAGTTAGGATGGTGTTTAGTCATTATTTTATCCTCAGTACTTATTTAGTATCTATGAAATACATTATTGAAAATAATGATTTGGTATAACTTGACTTGATTTTACCTTTGGTAATAGTGGTACTAAGATATCAGCTTATATTTAAAATAATTGAACTTTCTTAGCAATACTGTATGGAAAGAAGGTATTCTGACATTTGTTAAGTTACTAGCATAATTAAGTTGATTTTCTGCAGGACTTTTATGTATATTGTTTAGAGTTTATCATATCAGAAGTTTCTTGATCTGGGATCCCTGGACCACTAGGAGTTCTATTGGTGGACTTCAGAGAGGCTTCCTATTTCCCCATAATATGTGCCAGAATTTGTAAACTTCTATACTTTTCTTTTTTTTAATTAAAAAAATTTTTTTTGTTTTTTTTTTAGTGTTTGTTCATTTTTGAGAGACAGAGAGACAGAGCAGGAGCAGGGGAGGGGCAGAGAGAGAGGGAGACACAGAATCTGAAGCAGCTCCAGGCTCTGAGCTGTCAGCACAGAGTCTGACCTGGGGCCTGAACTCACGAGCCATGAGATCATGACCTGAGCTGAAGTTGGATGCCCAACTGACTGAGCCACCCAGGCACCCCTCTTTTATTATTTTTTTTAAGTTCATTTATTTTTTTTGAGAGAGGGTGTGAGCAGGGAAAGGGCAGAGAGAGGATCTCAAGCAGGCTCCGTGCTGCCAGCGTGGAGCCCCACACGGGGCTCAAACTCACAAGCCATGACATGACCTGAGCCGAAACCAAGAGTCAGACGCTCAACTGACTGAGCCCCCCAGGCGCCCCTACAGATGTACTTTTCTTCAGAGGGGATATATGCTAGTTATCTATTGCTGTGTAACAAGTTACTCCAAAATTTAGCAGCGTACAGCAGTACACATTGATCATTACTTTCTGTGGGTCAGGAATTCAGGTATAGGTTAGCTGGGTCCTCTGGCTCCACCTCTCAGAAGGGAGCAGTCACCTCAAGGTTGGATTAGGGAGGATTCCCTTCCTGGCCACATGGTTGTTGGCAGGATTCGGTTCACTGTGAGCTATTTATTGGTGAAGGCTTCCCTTGGTTCCTTACTACATGGGCCTCTTTATAGAGTTTCTTATAACATGGCAGCATGCTTCATCAGGGAGAGCTAGAGGGTAAGAGAGAGCACTTACCCTCTTTTGTGGTCTTTTGTAACCTAATCACACAAGAGATAGCCCTTCACTTTTGCCAAATTTACTTTTTTATTTTTTATTTTATTTTTTTAATGTTTATTTATTTTTGAGAGAGACAGATAGAATGTGAGTGGGTTAGGGGCAGAGAGAGAGGGAGACACAGAATCCGAAGCAGGCCCCAGGCTCTGAGCTGTCAGCACAGAACCCGACACAGGGCTCGAACTCACAAGCTGTGAGATCATGACCTGAGTTGAAGTCGGTCGCTCAACCCACTGAGCCACCCAGGCACCCCTGCTTCTTTATTTTTTTATGTTTATTTATTTTTGAGAGAGTACAAGAGCGGGTGCACATGTAAGTAGGGGAGAGGCAGGGGAGAGCATCCCAAGCAGCCCCAACTTGGGGCTAGATCTCAAGAACCATGAGATCATGACCTGAGCTGAAATCAAGAGTCAGGCACTTAACCTACTGAGCTACCCAGGAACCCTGCCATATTTGCTTCTTTGGAAGCAAGTGCTAAGTTCAGCTCTTACTCAAGGGGGGAGATTAACAAGGCTGTGGATACCAACAGTTGGGGATTATTGGGAGCCCTGTCAGAAGCTGCTTTTCACAAAGGTTTTTGATCCAAAAAGATTAGAGTTCTGAAGCTAGACTTTATACTATACAATCACTCTGGATTTTCAGGGTTGTTTGTCTCGTTTGTGATTAAATCCTTCCATGTTTCCTTCCTTATAATTGAATTTAAGCTATTTTATTCTTCATGACACTTCCATTTTTAGTGGAACTCAAAGGTAAGTGAACAACTAATTTTAACATTTAAAAATAGTCTAATACAATTATGTATAAAGCTCTGATATAAAAAGAGTAAAATTAAGTCCTTCAATAATTGTAGTGTATTACCATTAGCCATACTGTTTGTCCCTTTCAGCCCAGGCAATGCATACAGTTCTAGGCTTGCACGTTGAAGGTGCTAAATAATTGCTTGTGGAATAAGCAAATTTACTTTCTCAGGAGAATAGGTGGTAAGAATAAAGAAAGGAGCCTTTAGGAAACTATCATCTGTGACCAGGGTATATAGATGAATACCAGAGGAAAATAGATGATAAAGTCCCTCTGTGACTATCTTTACATATACTTTATTGTTTTTGCCCACGGTGGAAAGTCCTTTCCAGCATTTCTTTGACTACCCATTGCCCGAGTATCTGCAAAATCAGAAACACGAGTGTGCTACAAAAAGTGACTGTTTTGGGGAGTATCTGGGAATCTCCTCCCACTAAAACTACTAAATACAATTCAAATTCTTTTGCATGTTTTAGGCTCAAATTTGGCTTTCATCTCTGAAGTCCATGTTATAAAGAAATTCCCCTTATTTTATGATATATATTTTAAAAGTGATTTTACTGTACAGTTTTCTGTTACCCGATACACCAAAATCATTGAAAGGCTTTGAATTGTGTTACAAATGTGCTGTGAAAAGCTTGAGGGCTCATCTTCTGAAGATTAGGACATAGTTTCTATACTAGTTTTGATACTTCGCTGGATTTTTTCATCCTTGGAGAATAACATCTCTGGTTATTATTCTTGTCACTCAGGTAATAATTTCTGCATAAATAGGGGTGCCTGGGTGGCTCAGTCGGTTAAGGTCATGATCTCACGGTTCATGGGTTTGAGCCCCATCTCAGCCTCTGTGCTGACAACTTAGAGCCTGGAGCCTGCTTCAGATTCTGTGTCTCCTTCTCTCTCTCTCTGCCCCTTCCCTGCTTTTGCTCTGTCTCTCAAAAGTAAATAAACATTGAAAAAAGTTAAGAAAAAATTTCTGCATAAATAGGTGATTTGGGAGATTCATTTAAGATGGAGTTTCTATAGATACAGTGAGTAAACCAGTTGAAGAAATGTTAACAGTAGTTCATAAGTTTAGTAGAATTTCAAAAATACAGTAGAATTAGGTGAAAATGGTCTATGAAATTTTCCTAGTGGCATTTACCATTTGGACTATAGTATAATCTTCATTTTTTCCCCCTTTTTTGATATCATCCTTTAAGCTTTCCCCTTCTCACATTCTGACTTGGCTATAATATGAAATTGAGCTTTTATTTTTAAAAAAAGCTTGGTTTACAGGGGCACTTGTGTGGCTCAGTTGGTTAAGCATCTGAGTCTTGCTTTCAGCTCAGGTCATGATCTCATGGTCGTGAGATCGAACCCTGCATTTCTGCCCCTCCCCTGTTCATGCACATGCATGTGCTCTCTCTCCCCCTCTCTTTCTCTCTGCCTCTCCCTCCCTCTCTCTCCCTCCCTCCCTCCTTCCTCCCCCCTCTCAAAAAAGCTTGGTTTACAAACCATATAAAGTTTGCTTCCCTCATTTCAAAGTTTTAAAAAGTAAATTTGTTATTTTACATTCTTCAAGGGATGAGGATTTTAAAATGCCCATTTGATTTAGTGACATTGGAAAGTATTGGTATCTTGAACAAGAGCTATTTTTCTGGGATTTGGGAGGTGGGGGAATCACAAGCCAGATGAGATAGGGTGAAGGCATAGATATAGGAAGTGTGTTTACCTCTCTAAGAAATGTGGCTTTGAAAGGAACAAGAGTGATCTAGTAGTAGCTGAAGGAGGATAAGATTTTGAGGAAGTTTCTTTTTGTTTGTTTTGTATTATTTGGGAATAGGAGCAACTTGAGTATTTTTTAAGTGAATTGGAAGGTTCTGATTTGAGAGGGAGCAGTTGAATATACCACACATAAACATACACATGCATATACTTCATATATACATGTCCATGAAACACAGATACATAAATGTGCAAAAAAATGGTATCACTACGATCTTACAAACTGATTTTTCAAATTTATAGAAGAGTTAGAAGAATTGTACAAGGAGTACCCACTACCTAGATTCTGTTAACGTGTCATTATACATGGCTTATCACTTATCTGTCCATCCATCAAGCCATGTTTTGTTGCATTTTAAAGCAGCAGACATTAGCATATCCTAGCCCCAAACACTTGAGCATACATGTCATTAGCTAGTCAGTATTTATTTACAATTCTTTTTTTTCATTTTGAAGTACAATTTATAATGAAATGCACAAATTTTAGTGTACCCACCCTTCCATGAGTTTTGGCCAATATGTATTTCTGCATAAGCCAAATAAACCCTTTCAAGATACAGAATTTTATCATCACTCCAGAAAAGGTTATTCTGTTTCTTGCTGGTCTTCCCAACACTCCTAAGAGGCAATCACTGTTCTCCTTTTTTGTCATAGATTAGTTTTGCTTTTTCATATAAATAGGATCATACATGTGCACTCTTGTGTAAGGCTTCTTTTACTTAACATAATATTTGAGACCCATCCATGTTATTGAGTGCATAAATAGTTTGTTCCTTTTTATTGCTGAGTGGTATTCCATTGTATAGATACTGCATTTTGTTTATCCATCCTCCCGCTGGCTGACGGACATCTGAGCTATTTCTGGTTTTTAGTTGTTATGAAGAAAACTGTTAAGAACTTTCTTGAACAATCTTTTGTGTATTCATTTCTCTTGAGTAAATAATTATGGATGGAATTACTTGGTCAAAAACTGATGTGTGCTTAGTTTTGTAAGAAATTGCCAAGCCTTTGCAAAGTGTTTGTACCATTCTGCATTCCTGCCAACAACC